GGGACCATACTTGGAACATTTCCGCTATAAAGTGGAGATGGGCAGACTCTTTCTTAAAGGGCTGGGTAGTAAATATTTTAGGCTTTATGGGCCTTGCAGGCTCTGTCACAACCACTCAACGCAGCCATTATAGCCACAGGAAATATGTAAATGAATGAGCATGGCTGTGTTCCAATAAAACTTATTTATGAAACAGGTGGTATCCTGATTTCAAAAGAAAAAAAAATTGTGTTGCAAACACAAAAATTTTTTAAATAAAAAAAATGAAGACCAGAGCCTCATTCTGAGTGGCTTTCTGAAAGCTCTTGGATGGGAGTCAGTGTCAAAGACGCAGATGTTGGTCAGATCCCATCTCTGCCATTCACCAGCCATGTGACTTTGAAGGTCACTAACATCTCCGTAGCATGAGGATAGTAATTTTACAGTGAAAAAACTGAGGGACTTGCTGACATTTATTAAGTGTAGGTGGAGCTTCCGTGAGTGTTTGATTTACTATTTTTTATATTATTCTGCATGATTGAAATGTTCCAGAATTTTAGAATTTATGTCTTTCAAAAGTAAGCATAACAATTCGTTCGTGTATAGGTGGCTTAGATTTTAAGTTCCAAAGTCAACCAAAAGATCAAGTGTCTTACAAAGTCAAAATCATCTTAGGAATCCCCTCAAATCACACACCCCTGGGCTGCTTTCCATGGGTTACCCATCTCAGCACTTTACTAAGATTGACTTGCTTTGTCCTCGTCATAACCACTTGAAATAGTTGCTGTTAATGTCCTAGTTTACAGATGAGGCAGAAGGAGAAATCCTTTGTCCAAGGTCATGCTTCTGGGAAGTCACAGAACTGGGGTTGGAACCCGGGCAGTCTGACCTCAGAGGCCATTGTCTTTTGTTACTGTAGAGTACTACATGCAATGTTCACTTCCTTATCTATAATCTCTCTGGGTTGAGGAGCAAAAACGCTGCTTGAAAATAAGCGGCATCGTTGTGCCTTCAGTAATGTGTATGGTGAGCTAGAGGAAGGAAGGAAATTGCAGCAGGGGGCTATGGCAAATGTGCTTTCAGTGTATTTCCAATTTTCACCTGATTATGCTGGAGTGTCCCCGTGCCAATGCATAGAATGCTTTGGAAGCAGTGCCAAAGCAGGAAGCTGCCCCTGTCCGAGTGTGTGTATATCCATTCTGACAATATATTGTATTTCTGGAAACCTTGCCCAAAAAGAGATCGCCCAATCTCAGTTCAGCTTCATAAACACACCCTGATTTTGTGCCTGTTGTGTGCTGCAGCCTGAGCCAGGCACCGGGGGTTACAGACGTACCACCGTGTCTAAAACACCGTGCTTGCCCTCAAGTGCATTGATGACTGTAGGTCCCGAAGGGATAACTTTGGTGGAAACCCGGTATGTGCAAATGACACACCATAAAGGGAAGAAACATGGGTGTATGTTACCTGGCCCAGAATGGGCAGCCTAATAAAATGTGATGTGGCAGAATCTCGACCACCCATGGATGACCCCAGAGAACAGTGCACAGCCTGGTTCCTTTGACCCTTGGCGTGGGAATGGAGAATGATGGGGCCTGAGTGAGCTTGGCTTAGTCCAAAAATGTGGTCCTTTTATGACTGGAATGAGTGATGTGCTTTTTCTTCCCCCAGGATCCCAGGAGCAAGCACAAGTTTAAAATCCACACTTATGGAAGCCCCACCTTCTGTGATCATTGTGGGTCATTGCTATACGGACTTATTCATCAAGGGATGAAATGTGACAGTAAGTAAGCTCTTTTGTCTTCTGTTAAATGGCGAGGCTTGGAAGCACATGCCCAGGGCTTGCCGAGCACTTCAGGTTGAGTAACTTCTCAGCACCAGCTCATCAACAAAGAGAATTCATTCAGATTCATGCCAGACCAATAAAGTGTAGGATTTCTCCACAATCAAAGTCCTCGTTTATTAAACAACTTAATTGCCTAATTATGAATCAAAACAAGCACCCAATTTGTAAGGAAGTTGGTGCTGTCACACTTTTTCATGGTAGAAATCTTCAGTCACTGTAAATGCAGGCTCGTCAAACCCCAAAGCAAATGTTCGGTGTTGAAAGGAGACTCCGCACCTCCAGATGCCCACATTTGGGTGGGTCGGCTTCAAAGCAAGCTAAGCCGTCGCACTCATTATCCCCCTCTGTCTCTAATTAGTGGGTGGACTGCAGAAAAATCCAGGAGGCCCTCCTTGAACTGAAACCACAGTGAATATCACAACCAGGATGCGTCTTACTCAAGTTCACTCATCCTGCATGTCCACAGACAGATCAAATTTTACGAGTCCCGTTAGAGAGAAAGTCACTGAAGACCCCTGACGAGGGCGGCATCAGCCCTCTTCCATTCTCCTTTTTTGTTCTGTACATATCTCCATCAACTCCCAGGAGGAAAGAAAAACAACTGTGGAAACTCTTTGTTTTGGTAATTCTTCTATTTTGAGATTCCCCAAGCTATGTATTTACTTAAATAAAAGTTTACACTTTTAGGACATGAAAGGTAATTACTGAGTCTGTTTTTTTTCTAGTAGACAAGGAAGCATTGTGGGAATATCAGCATATTGTCACTCATTAATGACTATTATGGCCAATGGCTTTATAATGTATCCTACATGGAACAAACACAGTATATAAGAATCAAGATAGGGGAGCATTACAGAGGAGATGGACGGTTTCTCAGAACGCAGGGCTCTTCCCCCCACAGAGCCGTGGAATGGAATTGCCCAGCGAAACCTCTGTGATGAACCAGACCAGTAGCCTGCTGTGTTTCAAGAAACCCTAGAATTCCAAAGACATGGTTTCCAGGGGTTCGCAAGTGCAGCTTCTAAGTGCATTTGTAAATATACTTTTAGCTGCTTGGAAACTTGGAACAAAAGTGTCACACACACAACCTTGACAAGCTGAAGATGACATTGGAGACTTGACGTTGCCAGCTTCACTCACTGGCACAACGTGCACTCAGGTTTCTCCTGGGTCGTCCATGGCACAGACGGGGTGGGGTGGGGGGAAGCATGGAGTTAAACAGTGTTACCGTTTGCACGTAATCTTCTGTATGGACCTGGATTTTGGGATACTGTACACCTTTAACAAAATACATAAATAAATGAGTTGCAAAAGCTCAACTGAGACTTCACCTGCCATCCCTAACAGCTGGTTTCAAAATTTTATCTGGGTCAGAGGGCATTACTGGTTATCCATGAATGTCTTTATAATAAATAAATGGTATAAATTTGAATTTATTAATTAAGTGTATGCTGACAAAATAATGCTCATCTGGTTTATATATTAGGAGACTGCTTCAGCTTTTCTGTCAAAAGTGGCTTCCATTACTAAGAAAAAAAAAATTGAAAACCACTGAGAACCAGTGCTTTTTGTTTTGTTTTGTCTTGAACTCCTTTCTTGGAGTCAGCCTGTGCTCCTTTCTGGAGAGAGGACGAAAAGAAGCAGAGGGGCGCCAGGACCCCAGCCCCTCCCTTAATTTCTATAGAGAAGAAACTTCTGCCTGCACCCTTACAGGTTGTAGGGTCATAATACTATATACAGTTGAGCTTGGTAAAAAAACAATGACCAACTACTTGTCTAGGCCAGTCTGCAGAGTAAGAAAAGGAATCAGAGCCAGGAAGCTTCCCCAGATAGAAAAGTCACAAATGGCAAGGCCGAGACACGAACACGGCCCGTGGACGCTCACCCCCCACGCCCTCCCTGTTGTCCAGCCCTTTCTGGAGGCCGTGGCACTTATTTCTTTTAAGTTGCAAATTCTGCCCAGGCACTTAAAGATATTTCAAGAGTCTGTATCTCTGCTAAATCAAGGTATATGATTTTGAACAGTTAGCTTTGGAAATGGAAACCAAAACAGAACCCACGTTTGTGAATCAACCCATTGTTCTTTCCTTCTTGTGAGCATTACCCTGCTGTCAGGGTTCAATCACAGCAAATATACATTCTTTATGATGCTTTTTGCAATTTACTTCACCACGTTAAAATTAAACACCCAAAGTGAGAGGGTAGGAAGACTCCACCTATGAGGTTACAGAAGAGGCTTGGAGCATCCTATCGAGGATTCGCGAGGGTCCCAGCAGCCAGTCCTCCTGAGAGGACTCCATAGACCTAACTGCATCACCTACACAGTCCTCCGTTTGTGTGCAGCACACAAGGTTCTTCCCGGGTTTCTTTGGTTCATTGCGATGACTGATCTTTCTTTATCCTCCCCCTGTCTCGCCCACATAATGTTAGCTGGTAAGGAAAGGCTTATCATGCCAGACATGTATTTGTTTTACTTGGGATAATATTTAAATATTTGAAGACAGGTTTAAAATATCAAACACAAGTCCTTTTTAAAAAAGCAATGTATTTAAGCCTTCTTGAAAATACAGAGTGAGCGTAGCAAAGGAAAATTTTATGAATTTCCTATACTCAACCCACAGTTTCACTCTTTCCGAGTGGTGAGCTAGGAAGGCATGGGGAATTCTTTGGCTAAAAGTATCCTGTGTTTAAAACCTGCATATTATTTGTCTCTGTGCACATAAAATATTAGTTTGCCTGTGCTCTGTATGTGTGGGCCCCTGTTAAATATTTGAAGCAAACGCAGACGACCAGGCAGGGTGTTTGGCTCCACTTAAGACCAGACAAATACGGGTATGTTTAGGATATTGTCACTCATATGGAGCCTATGCTGTAAGGGACATCTGCTAACAGTTCTTTATGTCACCAAAAGCATTATAGCGGAGTATCAAGTTTTAAAGGGCAGCTCGTTTTCACTTGTGCTTGTACAACCAAAACACTGAGGAAGTGATGGTTCGCTCCCATATGCCCAGCCTCACCCTTTGCTTTCTCGATTTCACAGCCTGTGATATGAACGTGCACAAGCAGTGTGTGATCAACGTCCCCAGCCTCTGCGGGATGGACCACACCGAGAAGAGGGGGCGCATCTACCTGAAGGCTGAGGTCACCGATGAAAAGCTCCATGTCACAGGTGAGGCATGCTTGTGGAAGTGGAAGGCATGCAGCCTTCCAGCGGGCACTCAGGTGAAGGTCAGGATGACCCCGAGGCAGGGCTCAGAAACCCGGGCTTGTCATTGCCTCAGAGCTGGGCAGACTCCGAGCCCCTGGTTCTCATTAATACCTCTCCCAGGAAACTGCTCTGTGCGCCGAATTCCCAAATGCTCAATGTCATATAGTCAGGACTGCTGTGTGGATCAGGTTACTCTGACAGCATGGACAGCGTATTATTCCCTGGTGACGGGACAGGGAAGCCAACTAAGTGAAGTGCTGTTGGTGGAGTAGAACTAGGGGCAAGGGGAGGCGATGAATGATCCAGATGTTTAATGGCATCAGGCGGTGATGACCTGGTAAGTCCATAGTAATGACAACAAGCCACTGGGCATTTATTCTTCCTCTGTGTTGGGCGTGGTGCTAAGAACTCCTTCGTGGATTAATTTACTGGGTCCTCATGACATCCTGATCATTAGCCTCAGTTTCTAAAAGAGAAAACCAAGGCACAGAGAAGTAAAAAACACGCAATGTCACAGAGTAAGTGAGGAGCCAGGACTGGAACCAGGACATTGGGGCTCCACACCCTGTGCTTCTCATAACCACACCACATGCACCTCCTACAAACCGCCCAGCCGTGGGACCGGAACTCCTTGTTGGGGGGCCAGGACACTCCCTCTTTGGGGCTGTGTCTGCATAGGCTCTGCCATGGCGTGGCTTTTCCTTTGGTTTTCCCACCAAATCCACTCTATAGAAACACAGTCAGTCAAGTTACCCTGGAGTCTTGCTGGCCCAGGATCTATCCTGTGTCCTCAGATCCTTGCCATATCTGCCACAGCCCACTCCGTGTTGACTTTCGGTTTAGCTCTCAGGTGTCAAAACCTTGTTTCCTCGCTCCTTCCGATACTACCCTGCCTGCTCTCTCCTTTGTCAAGGGCATTCGTTTTTTCATTTGGACGCCAAAGGTATTATGTTTCCATTTGTGTTAGGAATTTTAAACTGTCACAAAAATGGGAAGACTAATGTTATTTATTTTTAAATAACAGAAGATACATTTAAAAAAAGAAAAGAAAAAGACTGAAAGGGTCTATTTGGCGGGAGGCAGGCTGGGGTTGGGGGGAAGAGAGGCATTCCAGAGAAAGCTCACTTTTGAAAACATCCTCACTTTTTGTTTTTTTTTTAATAAAATTTCCTACCCAGTGCTGTCCTCTTAGGTAAGAAGTCAGGAAAAAAACACAGGGCTTTGCGATGGTGCTAGGAGAGGGCGAACACACTTAGCCTCTGGATAACCTTATGAAACAAACCAAATATAGCTAACGGTCCAGACTGAGCTGTGAATCAAGCCCCCATCACAGACACGTATGGGGTCATGAGCATGTCTGTATGGTCACAGCCTCACCCTTGTTTCTCTCTCCTTTCCACTGAGGCTCCTACCTTGCCAAAGTCATGCACTGGGGACAGAGAGCATGCAGTTTAGGAGAGCATTACCACCAAATATTGTCTGAATAGGTGGGAAGGGATTGAGAGGCACAAAGGGAGTGCCTGCTGGCTGAACATTTCATTGTTTTTCCTTAGCTTTATAAGGCTTCCCCTGTTGGCGATACAATAGACATCCCAGGTGAAGAGTCAGAGCTTAACTGTGAGGTTCCCAGCTCCTGCAAGGCAGGAATTCCTGGACAAAGCTTTTCAGTGCTAAGCTCTCATTCGTTTTGCTTCTGAATACAGCAAAACACACACTGCGCTTGCTGGACCTGCTCCCCGCCTTCTCCTGTAATAAAAGCAGCCGCCATATGGCGCGAGCGGGGTTTTTCAGTCTCTCCAGGGACCCCCAGAGGCTTGCAGATGTAGAACTGCACAGAGGGGCACAGATGCTCTGGCCAGGGTGGCACAATGGTGCTCAAGTAGAAGAAAGGTCAGGTCCCATCCTGCAAGGACAGCAAGGAGTGGTCTCCTAGGGTTTATATGCTGATCACTCCACCATTGCTAAGAGTTGAACTGGATTCACAATGGTAGAATCATCTTAGGAGACAGGGCCATTCACCAAGTCAGACAGACGTTTCACACATGAAAGCCAACAAATATAACTTATGACAACAGTCTAGGTCAAGTCTCTTGAGAATTAGTCTAAAATTTTTTTGCTTAGATATAGTCCTGCTCTAGGAATATAAGTTCAAAAATAGTTCAGTAATACAGCAGCAGCAGCTAACACATGGAGCCCTCCCCGCAAAAGGGGCACTTTGTAAACATTTAACATAGTTAGCTTATTTAAACCTATGTGGAAGTTTGTTACCCTTCCTTTATAGATGAAGAATCTGAGATACAAAGAAATTAAATAACTTGTCCAAAGTCCCACAGATGGTCAATTTCATGGTTCGATATTTAGTTGATAGAAGTAGAGAGAAAATATTATATTTTAATGGTAGTATCAGTAAGAATTGGAATCTTGTTCAGGCTTCTATAACACATACCACGGACTGGGTGACTTCAAAAACAAACCTTTATTTCTCACAGTTCTGGAGGTTGGGAAGTTCAAGATCAAGGTGCCACCAATTTAGTGCCTGGAGACAGAGAGGGAGAGAAGCAAGGAGGGAAGGAGGAAGCAAGCGCTCTGGTGTGGCCCTTTATGAGGACACTAATCCCATCATAAGGGCTACACCCTTGCGTCCTACTTACCTCCCCAGGCCCCATCTCCAAATACCATCACCTTAGCGGTTAGGGCTTCGACATATGAATGGGGTGGGGGTGGGGAGGATACAAACAGTCCATACCAAATCTATTTTAAACATACAGTTGCTATTTATGTGAAGGAAAGCCAATCCTCAGTACAGAAAGCCAAACTCAAGGGAATAACTAATAGGTTATCATTTCTCTAAAACTTTTAACGTAGAAAATTTTAGATTTTCAGAATCAGAATTAGCCTGGTTCCAATGGGAACACAAATATAAACAGCAAACTATCACGTGTAGAGCTTATGATCCAAATGCAAAAACAAAACAAAAAAACAAGTTGCAAAAGTACAGAGTTCCCGTACGCCCTTCACAAAGCACACCTGATAATAACGTCCTTACAGAACTGGAGTTTGAGTGTCACAGTAGTCACAGTTTTAAATAATACCTGGTGAATTTGTGAAAAATAAGTACCTGTGTTAGTCACTAGAAATTGTGCCAAAGAGAAGACATCAGACATCTTAACTCCAGTATAAAAGGACTGCAGCCCTGGACGTCCCCTTTCATGAAGGTCTTTACTTCATCCTCCATGACAATGCTCCATGTCACACATCGCTTCTGGTCCAGCAGTTTCTGTCAAATAAAAACATTACGGTGTCCTCATTCACCTTATTCACTGGATCTGGCACCATGCCAGTCAAAATTATTCAGGACATGGAAGCAGCCACAACAACACAACTAAAGACACTCACAAAAGAGGACTTCCAGAACTGCTTCAGAAAGTGGCAAGTATGATGGGATAAGTGTGTTCGAAGCAAGGGAGGGTATTCTGAGGGGGATTAATAGCAATGTGTCTTTTACTGTAATAACTTTTTAAAATTTAAACATTCACCGTATCTTTTGATCACACCTCGTAATTCCCAAAGTAAAATAGAAACTCCCAACAGACTCCTGCTTTGGGATGGAAATCTCCCTTTTGAGGTTGGAAATGAGTTTCCTTTTTAATTGGCACGGTAGTTATGGGAAAGGCCTCCATTTCCCGGTGCATTTTTATGTTTTGCCTTTGGTCGGTGGTGCTGATGTTATCTGAATAGTGTCATTGTTTTTTTTTTTTCTTTCAATATGCAATTTTAATAGGTTTTCTACAATCTTTGTGCTATTTTATCTTGTTTGGAGGAGTGGTTAAAAAGAAATTACCTCATGGGAACCAATTTTCAATTTAATATTGTAAGGAAATGGAAAAAATATCGTGTGCTTTACAGCTGTTTCAGGAACATGTCTCGCCCACAAACAGATTATCCTGCAGAAGAGTCCAATTTTTTCTCTTACTTCAGGTTGTTAATTTGGCATAGAGATTGAAGTTCTACAGTGAGTTCCATGGGGGCAGGAGGGGCGACTTCCTGCAGGGTCCGAGGCCCCTGGTAGCGCCCTCCGTCTACCTCCTAGGACTGTGTGGATTTGGTGCCTGCACCTCACCACTCCAGCTATCAGGGCTTCCCATCATGTTGCTGGGATCACAACAGTAATATCCCCTCTGTGCCCTTCCACCTTATCCCAGCACATTTGCTGCAGAGTCCAGGCAGTGAGACCCAGCTTTATATGATAATCACTCATTCTTTGATTCATTCCTTCGTTATACCCTTACTGAGCATGCGTCAGGCTCTGTACCGGGCACCAGGGATGCTAAGATAATGAAGACATGGCCCTCAGCATGGAATGTGCGGTTGGTGGGGGGAATTCAGACATTAAACAGGATGACAGAGCAGTACAACCAGCGGCCTGTAAGTGCAGTGGGAGCTGCGGAGAACAGTGCCTCACCTGAGGAAGCTGCAGGTGGCTTCACTTAGGAAGTGACAGTGGAACCAGGAAGATAGGTGGGGAGAGGACTTTTCAGGTAAAGATGCAGAGCCGTGGAAGGGCATGGGGTGTTCAGGAAACTTGACACAGTCCAGGATTTGGGGGATTTTGAGTGTGAGGTGAAGAGAACTGGAGGGAAATTTCTTGCCATTTTCAAGGTCGGAATTTTTTTTTAATGGCTTCACCCTGACACTTCCAGTTCTGATCCTGGCTCACGGTTCTTCCCTTCATTTTCCAGTCCTTACTCATTCTCCCTCCTCCTCAGTAAGACCCCTGGTTCCTGGTGACATCAAGATGTTTACTCATTTGCTCTGCCCCACATGGCATGCAGCCGAGTTTCAGAATCAGCATACCAACACCTCCACCAAGAGCAAACCTACCAAATAAAGTTCAGGATCTTATTGCCATTGTTTCAAGGCCTTAGATGATATCCCCCTAAGGGTATGTGGTCAGAATGCTGCTACCTGGATTACATGCTTGCCTATGTAGGTATGTTGAATATATGATGCCTTAACCAAGTGGTCAAACTCAGCCTCCCCATTAATGCGACGAGCTGAGAGGGTGCACAGCCTGATGTGATACAGTAGAAAGTACACAGCATCACCTGCCAGGTATTTTTCCCAAAAAGTTTATAACCTGAATCTAATCATGAGGGCAGGAAAGGAAAAAAAAAAAAAGACAATTCCAGATATTGGGACATCCTGTTTGGACTTTTCAAAAACGTCAATGTCATGAAAAACCAAACGGTCAAGAGAACTTTCTCGATTACAGGAAACTAAAGAGATATGACAGCCAAATGCAATCTGTAGCACTTGGTTGGATTTGTAGCCAAAAAAAATAAAACAGCAGCTTATGAAGGAGGACATTTGGAGGACAAGCGGGGAACGCAAATCTGGACTGTATTTTAGATAATGTTTTTGTGTCCGTGGGAGATTTCTGGGTGGTAATGGTAATGTGATGATGGAGGGAAATGCTGAAATATTTTAGGGGGTGATTTTTTTTATATATATATTTGATGTCTGAAACTTCCAAATGGTTCAGAAAAAAAAAATGATGATAATACGTGTGTATACACACACACACGCACACACAGAAAGCATGTGTGGCAAAATGTTAATAATGAGAGAATCAAATGTATAGATGTTGATTGTACTGTTCCTTCAACATTAGTGGTTTGAAATTTTTCACATCCACCAAACCTCCAAAAAGTTGGGCAATGTGAAGTTGGAGCTTTTTGTTCCAGCCGGTGATGCGCTTCAATGGTCCCTGTAGGGAGGCGTCTTAGCTGGAAGGAAGGCCCCAGATGACAACATCAGGCCTCCTGATGGGGATGCTAATGAGAGGCAGCCAGTCAAAACACAAGTAGCGGTTGCGGAAAAGGGGGACATTTGAGCAAGCCAGAGACGCTGCTGTATTTACTGAGTGCCTAGGTCCCGCTAGAAGAGAAGCCAGCATCGGTTAAGCCACCTTCCCTGGACCGGGCCCTGATTCCATGCTTTGCTCTGTGTTACTTCATCACAACAATCCTTGGAGAAAAAAAGCTGTCATTACCATCATCTTGTAACTGAGGACACAGGCTGGGAGAGCTCCCATGGCCTGCCCAAGGTCACAGGGCTGCAAAGGGGAGGGCACTGTGCCGCCGGTGCCCAGGCATGCACCGCCCACTCTTACACAGCTGACTCCTGGCTCTGGTCCAGGGACGGTTACGTGCTAGTTCATGGCCCTGTCCCTTCGGGACAGACGTGGCCTGCACTCTTGCCAAGTGTTTGCGGTTTCACATTTCTGTCCTGCAGTTAATAGTTGAGGCTGCTCTGTGATGGCCCCGCGGCACCTGTAATTACTGCAGTGCCACTGGCACCATTGTGAGTGAGGGCCTGTCATTATTTTCCCCAGAGCCTCCATCTTCCAAGCCTTAGATAATGGCTGGGAGGAAAAAATGGCAGCAGGGAATCTGGCCTTAAAGTGAAGAATGAAAATGGCAAGGATGGAAACAAAGACCCCTTTAGGATGTGTTCTGATTGTGCGTGAGTTGGCCAGACATGGGACCTGAGTCTGTCCTTTCTCACCCCACAGACCCGTCATCCTGGCCTTTTCTCACTGGCCTGGCCCTTTCCCACAGCAGACTTGTCCTTGTCGCACTCTCACAGTCTTGGAAGAACCCACCTTGAGCACTTACCTGCCTGAGTGCCCCATGCTTAACTCCAGGCACATTCTTTGAAAGAAAACAGGAACTGCTTCTCAGCTAAAAACAAATAGCAGTTTGCTTGTAGGGAAGACGTTTCCACGTCACCCCCGTTCAAATGCATGTGGCTCTAGGTGGTGACTAGAATGTTTTCACTGCGCTTATCTGCTCTATCTTCTTCCTTGATTGGATATTCCTAAATGTCAGGTGTCCCGTGTCTGTGTCTGTGTGACCCCTTCAGCAGCCAGTACTTTCCCAACTCCCCAGTCTTATCCCTTATGACCCCCTAGTCCCTCAACCCCTTGACACTCAGTTCCAATTGTAAAGAAATGTGCTGTCTCCCCAGGGGGCAGGCTGTTTCCCACGTCTCTCCTTTGCTTGTGCTGTTTCCTCTGCTCCCTCAGGAATGTCTTTTTAACACTCAGCTCCAGTTACCTTTCTGAAGCCGCTCCTGACATTTTCTGCCTTGCCTAAAATTGACCACTTTCTCCGCATGCCCTTCGTGACATTTATAATGTGATTTCACTTACGTGTTAACGTATATAACGCTCTACCAGACCATTAGCCCTTTGGAGGTCAGAGATGGTGTCTTAGCTCTTGTACCTGGTCCAGTGCCTTGAATTTGTGCCTAATAATATGTTTGTTGAGCAGCTGCTGCTGCTGCTGCTGATGATGATGATGATGATGAAAGGCACAGCATCCAGTAGGCACAACATAAAAAAAATTACTCAGCTTTATACTATGCTCCTCGATCCCAAATCCAAGAAACTCTTCCTATTTTAGCCCTATATCTGGATCAAGTTTAAATGATCCTGTTTTAGCCTAATTTGTAAAGCCACGTGACTTCTGGGGTCCTTAATTGAAACACATATCAGCCAGGAAAGAGGTCGCACCTTCTCAAAGAGGCATTACCTGATTTACATCCTGACTGTGGTACCTCGTCCTGACCTATCTTTGGCAGAGCTAAATGTCAGATGCGTACTAAGCAGCCATGTGCCCTCCTCCGGGTTGTTATTCCTGCCTGGTTCCAACAGGCAGTGATTCCAGCACAGCTTTCCACCCTGGGTGCTTAGTCACTGGATGCCCATGGGAGGCAGCAAGCCCAGGGCGAGGGGCAAGAGTTGCCAGTGTCCTTTCCTTGATGCACTGTTGGCCTTTGTCTTAAAATACCCTGGTAGCCAAGCTCAAAGTGGCATGACTGCTCTTCCTGCTGCTTGTGATGATCTCAAGCCCCTGGACTCTTCACAGGGGCCCTCCATCATCCATCCACTCTAACTTCAGGGACTCCTACCATGAAGAAGCATTCTTAAGATGGGCTTTAAAAGCCTGCATCCTTGGGAAGAGGAAAAACAAGTTATTTCTGGGGCCTCTTTCAAGGTTATCCCATTAGCATACAGGGTCATTCACTGAGCAGGTCATTCTTGTGCAGGATTTTAATTGCTTTTAATTATAGGATTATCATTTAAGCACAAGATTAATTGCCATGAAATTATTGCAAAGAACTTGATCTTCTTTTCCAAAGTAAATGCATTAGCAAGTGAGGAATTTCTTAGAAGCTTGCAAGTGATGTTTTTTTATTTTTTCCATTGCTTCCTTGGAAACTTTCTTTTAACTCTTTGATGGGGAGGAAACATTAAGGGGATCAGGATGGAAAAGGAACAAAGGGTAGATCCATACCCCTTTTGGTTCTCCACCAAAAAGGTTGGAAAAACGAACATTGCAACGTTTGGGAATCATTTGGTTCTCCAACGGAAATGTCCCCAAATAAGTGCAGAGATGTTTCCTCTCTTGATTCATGTTCAAGTATGGGGGAGAGTGGCCCACCCAAAAGCTAGAAGAGGGAGGTGCCATCTTGCGGTTCCCTTCACACTAAGCTGCTCTGACATCCCACAAACATTTGGTTTTCAAATGTTTTGTAAAGGGCTCTGCAGTTCACATGCACACACATGCTCTGGTTATCAGCATCAGAATGGTGCATGGAGACATCAGACTGTTCATCTCAGCTTCTAGGCGTTTCCATTTGGGAGGAGTGCAGATTTCCTGAGACAATACAAGACGAATTAGCTCCTGGGGCATTTCTAAAATATCCTGGTTTGAAGAGAGTGGGGAGCGGCCATCTGCGGGCAGCTGTGCATGGAGCACCCCCCACGGGTGACTTTCTTTGCTGAGAAGAACAGCCGTTGTGCTTCACCACCCATTTCCCTTGGTAATTAATGCCAGGTTTGCAGTTAATTAAAGACAGTCAGGGCTCCTTTTAAAACCAAGGCAGGCTTTTTTGGTTTTTTTCCCTAGAATAATGAAGCAAGAACAGAAGCAAGGCAAATTTCCTATGAAAGTTTTCGAGGTGGGGGTGCTGAGTCTGGAGAAAGTTACATGCAGGGAAGCATTGCTTCACCAGCTCAGAGCCACTGGAGGCAGGGAACACAATCAAGAGAAATGCCTGCTTCCCTGAACACCCAGTGGGGAGGTGGAGACAGGAGGGCCCTTGTTCTGGAAAGTACCTCACTGGCATCTCTTTCCCTGTGTTAAGTGACTCTGCCTGTGGCCAGCCACTGCTGGGGGTGTGGGGGGAGGTGCAGGGCATGGGGGTGCACAGTTCTTTGGCAGCATTGCCACTCTCATGGAGTCCTTCACTGACTTCCCCCAGAAGAATTCCTGTGAGTGAACATCTGCCCAAAGGCCAGAAAGGAAAGTGTGCGTGCACTACGCGCTATAAACAGCGCTGTCCGGCCTTTCTTACTAATTCCCAACCACTCTGGATGACCCTGCGCTTATTTCATTGCACACGCACAGCAGCAGGGACTGTTTGCTAGCCTCAGCACTCTGTGCTTCTGAAGGATGCCCATATATTTTTGAAAAAAAAAAAATCCTCGACATAGATATTGACTAACGCTCCCTGAAGGAAGGATACAGGGGGTGTAACTAGCTATGATAGTAGGAGTGATCTTGTTTCAGAGGAAACTGTGGTATTAGATTTGGGGTCACATCGACTGGATTTGACTCCCAGCTCTACCACTAATGCTCAGTAAATATCTGGGATCGTCACTCTGACTGGGGTCACGTGTGTCCCGGTCCCATTGATGTTACAGAGTTCAGTGCATCGAAGCATCTCACCTTACTGACACATTAACTCTTTCTGTCCTGACTTGGTCCTGACCTCCGTATAACCACATGGGACGCCAGCCACACGCAGGAAAGCCTGTCCCCAGATTTCATTGTTTTCCTGCACCACGCCTGCCACGCACCACCCAGGGACACACTGGCATTGGCGCTTTCAGGATTGAAAGAGCTCCCATGAACGAGACAGCAGCCTATGAAGCTCAGAATATTATCCTTGAAAATTCTGGCCTGCTACAGACCATGGCCTCATTACTTGCCCTCTGTGCTTCCCTCTCCTCATCTGCACATTCACACAAAGGCGCCTGAACTATGAACTTCGAGGTTCCCTTCGGCTCTCGCACTTTGTTGCTGTGAGAGCCGATTCAGAGAAAGAGCGAACTAGCCATCTGCCATAAGCAGGCCCCTCTTGAACTGATGGTGGACTTGGAGACTCCAGGATTCTGCAAGTGGATGAGGCCTGGAAAATACCTGCTCTAGTGCTTTTCAGACAGGCTTGAACAGCAAACTCCTTCAAGTGACATCTTGCCTGGCGTGATATTCCCATTGAAGGGCACAGCATGTGGCACCCACCGTCCTTTGTGACCCAGGAGAAACCTCGGTAGGCCAGAGTTTAACAATCACTGATGTGATCCAACCCACTCCTTTTTCTTGAGTAAAACCAAAGCTCAGAGAGGGAACGTGACTACGAGGTAGGGTGTTTTGGGTTGTAAGGGACAAAACCAAACTTCAGCCCACTGTTAGGAGAGTTGCCCAGAGACATCTGGGGTCTTTTATGGAGCTCAAGGGTGAGAATGCCGTGAGGCCATAGAAATAACTAGAGTTAGTTATAACTAGAAATAACAAGTCTAGCTTCCTGTACTCACCTTCTCTTCCTGCTTACTCTTCATTCATCTTTTTCATAGCAAGTTGGGCTTTCTCCACATTGCAGAAAACGTGGCCATAACCTTGGCCCAGCTTTGTCTATCACAGCTTATCTCCTGCTGTGTCCACACTCATCCACACATCCCAGGCGAGGACTCATTGGCTCCCTTTGGGTCATGTGCCACCTCGGGACCAATCAACTGTGGCTGAAGGGCAAGGTCTTACAAGAGGACAGATCAAGGTGGGGGAACGGCATGTCCCCGGAACCGGGAATGGTGCTAAGCAGACAAAGCCATAGGCCATGCCCTTACCATAAGCCATTAGCCGGGTTGTGCAGATAGCCGGTTTGGGAGTGGAGACTGGGACTGGCAGCAGCTCCTGCCTTCTGCTTCGGTGCCTTTTTCCTCCCACCACACTGCACACCCAGGAGATTACTAAAGAGCAGTGGTAGAGCGTGAGCTTCTGTGCAAAAGTTGGATATGACTCATGAGTCCCTTTTGAACAAATGAACATATTCCTGGCCTGGCCCGTTTCCAGAAGCAGCCAAGGGTAAAGAAACAATTTTGATTCCGCGACATTTGTCCAATCCAACCACCCGGCACATTAATTACCCCTCTTATTTAGAGGCTGTGAAACAGCACCCTAGGATCTAAGTGTAGCTGGTGGTGACGCAGAAGTTCAGTGAGAGCGCAGCCCACAGGAAGCTGAGTCCTCTGAATGGGGCCACACTCAGCACGCGGAACAAGTGGCCCAGGAAAGGCAGAGACTGATTAGGGCCTGGGAGCGGGACACAGCCTGCGCGGCCTGCATTTTGAGCTCTCTGGCCTGAAAGGACTCCCCCGGTGACTTTGTCTGCAGGCTCTGCTTTTTGGCCCTGGCGGCCCTGCCTCACACCCCTGGAGGCTGCTTTCATGAGAATTCCAACTGTGAGAACGAACTAGTTGGCAACACGCTAACAATGCCTCTGGGTTCTTAGGCTCTCTGTGGAAAAGAAAAGAAAAAAAAAAAAAGCCAGGCTACCTGGCTTTCACTCAGTAAGGGAATAGAAAAGCAAGGTACATTTTATCTATGAATCATCGCCCATCAGCCCCTGCCTCAGTTAGAAAAATGATGTGTCTCCTGCTTGGTTTGTAAACTGTGGTAATTATGCCAAGAATGGCAGGTCCCTGCTCCATTCTGCCCTCCCCAAAGCACTTAGATCCCAAACCCCCATCTCGTAAGTCCTGGTGGGGACAAGACTCTTCATCCGGTGGGTAGCCTTGGACTTGTGGGCTCTACAAGCCTGGCTGTCTTTCCATTTAATCTCTCCCTGCTTGATGCTTTGCCGGTTCAGGGAGAACCTCGGCAGCACGGCTCGGTGGTAGAGAAGCAGCTTGGCTGTTTCACTGGATTAAAAGTTTCACATCCAAGATACTCGGTCTTGTTTTTCCAGAATTAATTTAGCCCTGATCTAGGTTTGATGCAGCGATCAGCTCATGGTGATCTAAGGTGTTGGGCAGATGGGTCCAGGCAGACAGAGAACCTGAAAGTAATGAGAACATCCAGATTTTTTTTACTGTGGTTGCGGTGATAAGTGCTTTGCCAGGTGAAAATCTCAGCCCTGACATCATAAGTTTCATTAATGTTTATCTTAAACTTTGTATTCTCAGATTAAAGACTAGAATGGTATAACAGATAGAAAGGTTGAAAAAAATGGGCTTAGTATTATAATTTTGTCTCTCTCCCCATGGACTACTGTACTAGTCCAAAGACAAATGTTCATGGTCTCTCGTTCATGTGAACCCCCAATACACACTGATAAGTGTGTCCCTCAGAGAATCCGCTCTGAACGCCATTGATTGGTCGTTGGTCCTGCCAGTGGTGGGAACAGCCTGGCAGGGAGGACAGTCGATGCCTTTTCTGCCTGCTGATGGAGCCTGGGGACTAGCGCCCACTAACCAGGCATCATGCGTGATGCTCAGCCAGGCAGCGGAGGCCCAGCAAAGGCCACCAGGAGATGGGGCTCCCTCAGGCGAGCTCACAAGAACAATTCCTGGGGTGACCAGCCTCCAAGGCTTCCTCGCCCAGTCCCTTGCATGAAGGTGATAGAAAGCAGGTTGGTTTTCTTGGGCTTTGCCTCTTGAGGATTCAACTACGTCAAGGGAAAAGATAAAGAACCAATAAACATTTTCTTCTTTGTCTGCCACACTGATGTGAATGGTTATGATTTTATTAACAACTGCCTCGGAGCCAGGCCTGATTTCATTTAATTTAATCTCCTGGTTATTTTCAGTTGGTCTGAGTCTATTTTAAGCACAGATGAAAGGGAAGCAGTCAGACCGAGGGGGCGGATGAGGGAAGGACAGGAGGTGCCTTCTGCTCCCACCCCAGTTACTCGAGCTCAACTCCTCATATTGTAAAGGGAATGACCATGGAGACTAGCCGGCCAGACCAAATTCTAGCTCTCAGCGTGAATTCATCTCTCGTATAATCTCTGGTATCATCTTGTTCCTCTGAGACAGGAAACATTATAGCAGCTAGGGTGGGGGAGGGGAGAATAAGTATGCAGCCAGAAATGCAAATGGAGCAATTCTCTCCAGTGCCAGGAGAGAGCTGAATAAGGACACCTTCCCCTGCCCCTCCCACTCTCCTCCTAGCAAACTCCATTTATCGTTGTTGTACGGTGGTAGCTCTTTCTCTTTAGCTCTCTTCTGCTTTGATGCTCTGAGATCGCAGGGTGCCAGGGTCTCTCTGGGCATTTGAGGGTGTCATCTAGGTCAATACGTTAGACAGAAGCTCCCTCAGTGAGACCCAGCACCGGAAGTCTTGTGGCCTGGAGCTGTAGTGCCAGCCGCCAGCCCCAGGAGCAGCGGTCCCAAGACCACTTCATCATTCCCTGCTGGGGAGGGGGAGGGGACGCTCCCTGGGGGGTCCCTGTCTTTGGTTTGGTACCAAGAACGATCCAGAAAAGGAGGAATCCGTCCCAGTCTTACATGCCAACTCTGAAGGTGGGAAGCTGGATCCCCAAGGGCGTGCTGGTCCCCACAGGTCCAGGACCCTTATGCGTCTTATTTCCTGTGCGGAATCTCTGCCCTTGTCAGGGTGCTAAGTCTCCGTGCAGTCACATGATGACTGGTTTGGGTTGTTTTTCCAGGATGATACTGACGATGATAATAATAACATCAGTAGTTAAGAGTTGTTAATTGCTTATTTTGTGCCAGGCACCGTGCCAAGAATTTTACTTGCATAATCTCATTTAATACTTATAGTGCCTGTTGGGCTAGACTCTTTTTTATCTCCATTGTATAGATGAGGACATGGAGAACTCAAGGGTTTCAGGGACTTGCCGCGGTGACAAGGTAGAGATAAACTTGAATCCAGGTAGAACATTCCCGTGTCCTGGGAGTCCTATGAAAGCATGACCCAAGGATTTGTGGTGCAGGCTGATGAGTCACCTGTCAGCACCTGCTCTCCCGCCACCTGCGGAGTAGAGATGCCCCAGGAGAGGGAGCATTGCTTGGTTTGGGGCTGAGTGTAGGAATGGCCATAGCAGGGTCTCAGGTGGGACAAGCACCTGCCATGACTCATTAAAGTCTGTCTAGTGGGCCTGTTATCCACTCCTTCATGCCAGGTTTCCCAAAGCATGGTGCTGTTCAATACGCAGTTACTGCTCTCCCCGCCCCCCGCCACCCCCGAGAAATCCTGAACCCAGTTCTCCGAGAGTGAAACCTTCAAACCTGTGTCACTAGCGAGTTCTCCAAGGTGATTCTTATGCCCAGTGACTTCTGAGAATTGTACCCCTGGGTATTTCAAGTTCTGGTCTTGTAGTAGATTAGATTTACTTTTTTAAAAAAAGTGTCCGTATGCTTGGGATGGTGTTGGGGGGAAGTTATTAAAACCAGAGCTCTCCAATACCCAAAACAGACATACATGTGGAAACACTGTAGCATCTCAAGGCAAAGGGGGCAGTGGTGGAGAAGGGGCAGGCAACTAATTCTGGCCTTCTGTTTTGAAGGCCCCAAGTCCACTCTTGTTACCACCCAGAGATGGCCAGGGCCCTCGAGACTAATTCTAATATAGTCCTGACTGAGCAGTGCACCAGAGCGCCAGCTTAGTAATTTACAGAGAGAACTAAAATTGTCCATGTATCTGTTGACTTGATCAGAGCAGCCTCTCCAGTGTAGTCAAGATACCCAAGAAGGGAAGACATAATGAACCCATTTTACTGATTTGCCATGTAAAACACTGTCCCGTAGATAGCACAAAGAGCAGGAAACCATTGGGGTAGTGCCTTCATTCACTGTAGACAGACCTCGGGGGACTCAGAGCACTGCCAAGTGAACATGGAATTACATATAGCGAGGGGATTAGATAACTGTTTAATGGCACCAGGCTAAGGTTTACCATGTATCTCAAGATGGGGCAGCTGTGGCTCTGGGGCTCAGACGCTTCTTGGGCCAGTCTCGCAGACACTCCAGGTGTTTCCCTTGGTGCCTCTGCTTTCTCTCTCTCATTTGAATATATGCATGTCAGCCACAGGCTGGTCCTACAAGCCTGGGAAGCGTCTGTCTTCTTCAGGGGATGTGGCGAAGCTCTGCTCTGATCCAGGACTGATGGAGCCTGGAGTTTGTAGGAAATAACCCCAAATAGCTGAGGAGCAATGTTTATCGTAGAGCAGGTTCTGAGCGGCAGGTCTGTGGACAGAACCCCAGCCCCACCTCCAAAATTATATACAGAATTTTGTATCTACATTCTGGGAGGGAGAGCAGCCATAGCTGTCATCTTCTCCAAGGCATCCAATAAACTGCCCCCCACCACCCACCCATCAAAAAAATTTAGGAATTATTACCCAGACTGGAAACATACAACTTTAGACATAGGTGATGTGTCCTTGAAAACAAAGGCATGATCATATGCTATCAATTTGCAGGCAGCTTGTGTTCAAATTGGAAGGAATCTTAGAGATTTCCTGGTCCAATCAACCCCATTGCTTTCTAGATAGATTACATGATTCACCAGAGATCGCCCAAGAAAGTGAGTGGCAGGCAGAGCAGGCTGGAGATCCTCTCTGCTCCTTGCCCGACGCTCCCCTCCAGCCTCGGCTGCCCTGTAAGTCCCATCGGGAGCATCTGAAGGTTTAGTAACATCATTGCCGGAGGTGAAATGACCAATGAAATGATGTAGAATTGAGTTAGGCAGCCTTGACCTTTAAGGGACA